GTTTATCTACATGTCTAGAAACCTTTCTCCAGTTTTTACTATTTTTGGAGTTGATTTACTGTGCCAATTGATTTTACAAAATCGTATACGTTAACAGTTTTTTTAGAAACTGTAAATTTGTGTTCAAATATTTATTTCTCTCAACTGGGAAAAGATTTTTCAGAAATTCTTTCTCTGTCATGTTATTCTACATGTCTATAACACTCCCACAAAATTTTATAATTTGTGGAGTTCATTTACCATTTTAAATTAATTTTACAAAACAGCTACGCACTGCTACAGTAAATTCGGTCGACCGGACCGGTCGACCGGAAATGTCTCTGGAACTTTTTCAGGTTTGTACAGTGCGAGCGATTGACCGAAAAAAAGGTCGGTCGACCGCCCAGCTCCCAGAATGCCCATAACGGCTATTTTTTTGTATCCGTTGGAGGGGTTTTTGGTCTTTTGGTTTGGGCTTTTGTTTGAGGTATTGGGAGTAGGGGTGTTATCGGAGCGGATACGGTTCGGATATGATGTTTATCATATCCATATCCGCTTTTTATAAACGGATACGGATACGGATACGGATCACCCTCGGTAAGAAAAAACATTAACCATATCCGTATTTATCGGAAACGGATACGGTTCGGATATTTGAGAATCGGATCGGATCTGATCACGGATATAAACGGATATTCGACATAAATCTATTAGACATATAATCTTCATACAAAACCATCAATTGAAAACTAAAATTGAGCACAAATTTATTAGACATAAAACTATAATATAGACAGGAAAGTGTATATAGACAAGAAGTTAATATAACAGGAAGTACAGATTTGTTTGCCTGAAGAGAAATTCCTAGATGGCCACGTTGTCACTACCCTACGCGGTTTGGTGTTCAAGAAAAAACAAAAGCTTCCAGAATAAAAAAACACGAGTGGTCCAGTGCTAAAAGGAATCCATCAAGGAACTGATCCTAAAATCAACCAATTAATAGAATAGGATGTCATCAGAACAGATAAAAAATCCCTCCATGTCGGCTTCAATATGATCACAAAAAGGGGAAAACCAAGGGTAAATTACCTAATCGAAGATCGTGATCAACCCAGGAAAAAGTTTTTTTTACAAGAAATCATCAATCTACAAAATTATCGTGATCAACCCAGGAAAAAGTTTTTTTTACAAGAAATCATCAATCTACAAAATTAGGGGAACTGCATTCAATTTCAAGCTCTTGTTGACAATTACAAGAAATCATCAATCTACAAAATTAGGGGAACTGCATTCAATTTCAAGCTCTTGTTGACAAGTAAAGTAATGATCAATCTACATTGGTGATTGTCAAAAATCAGGGGAACTGCATTCAAGCTGCCAGAAGTTGTTCTAGTGTCAAAAATCACATTGGTGATTGTCAAAAATCATCAATCTACAGAAATTATAGGGAAGTTAGGGTTAATTTCTGGCAGCTAAAAAGGTTACAATTAGTACCCAATTTCGACGACGAGGCGGCGACTCTTCGACGACGAGGCGAGTGGCGACTTCGCTGGCGAGTGGCGACTTCGCACGAGGCGAACCACGACTCTTCGCTTCGACGACGGCTGGCGAAGTGGCGACTTGCTGGTATTTGGGTTAGCGGGTTGAGGAGTGACGCGGAGTGAGGGCCGAAGCGCTGAGGGTGGAGGCGGGCTTGAAGGAGTCAACGCGATTGAGGGCAGTGAGGGGTGAGGCGGTTCTTGTGAGAGTGAAAGGCGTGGAGGGGGCGGCTTTGAAGAGTGACCGGAGTTGAGGGCTGAGGGTGAGTGGCAACTGAGGGTTTCTTCTTGTGGGGGTAGTTTTGGTTTTTTTGGTGGTTACCCGCCGGAGGTTTGCTCACACTATTGGTAGAGAATGAAAGAAGACCGGCGATTACCCGAATCAAATATTACAACATGTGCGTGCTAGTTAAATCCGTAATCCGCAACGCCTCATCATGTATCTCGCTCACAGAGCGCTAATCGGTTACGGCAATCCGAAAAAAGTCTAGAGAGTGAAACGCTCTGTTATCGGAAAAAACTAGTAGTCATTTCCTGAGGCAAGGGGCGGCTATAGAGCTAGGTTTCACGTGCGGAACGGCCCGTTACCAGCGTTAAAAACCAAATCCGATGGGGCAAGCGCGGCGAGCTCAAACTATGTATCCGCCCGGTTTTCAAAAATTAACGCGGCTACTCAAATATCCGCATTTCCGTTCGGATACGGATGCGGGACGGTAATCGCGTTCGGATAAAATATACCGAACCGTCGCGTTTGTAAGAGACGGGCTACCGCAGGCTAAATTGGGTGGCTTGCTATAAATACCGGCCGAAACCCTTAAAGTGCTAACGTGCTGATAGCAATTAGACGTTACCCGCTTCAGTTTTTAAAATATCTAAGAACGAGTTTTAAAAGCAGTTTAAGAAAGTTTTAATTAGAAGGGTTTTTAAGTTTTGTTTTTAGTGTTTGTTTACGAAGATTCTCACAGCTTCATTTACAAGAGTTTGGTTTGTGGAGGGCAAATTTCACGAAGAGGGCAAGTGGAGATCATCCTTGGGTTATTGCAGGCAGTGAGAGCGATGAGAATCACTTCTAGGCGCAATCCGCAAGCTCGGGGTTCCGCTCATTATCACTACGTACAGGCCAGTAAAGTGAGTGGGCTAAATAGCCTCATGGTAACGGACATTGTGCACAAACGCGCTGTATAGAGGACGCAAATACATGGACGAGGAGCTTGGCTCTCTATTAGTCATAGCACGGTTAAGTCAGGCTCAGGACGGTTAGGAAAACGCGTATGGGTGCTGACATAAAATATAACGGACGTATTGGGCAAACATAATTAACGTTGGGGGCTCCGGCAAAATGCTAGGCGACCCACGGCCCAACGGTTGGCCAGGGTTGGCCCAACGGTTTGGAACCGCCTGTGTGCCGCACGGTAGTGCTAATATTTGCCCCAAAGGTTCGGCAACGTTTGGCGGTAAGACAAAATATTTTTGCTTTTTAAAAAAAAAGAAGAAAAATAGGTCTTTAAATTGTGCCAAAGGACCGCGCCGCGTTGGATGGGCCTGGAATCAACGGTTGGAATCGCGTGCCTAGAGGCAAAAATTATCTTGAAGCTAATATATTGGAGTATTGGACAGTATCATATCAGCTTTAGTTAAGTTGGACCTCTCAAATGATCATCGTGTAAGCATGACCAATAACTTTCAGGATAAAGATGGGGGCAGCAGCCGTAAGGATGAATCAGCTTTAATAGTTGGCACTGGCAAGGCGGCCAAGCATTCGGTTGAGCAGGTCCTGGCAAATGGGGCCTTAAGAGGCATTAAAGCTGTGTAGACTCCAGGCAAAACGTACGAGTATATTAACTGAGGTGTTAACCCAAGGCCGGTCAAGCGCGGCGGTTACAAGTAAGATCGATGGGCTGGCGAGGGTCAAACGCATCAGCAATTTCGCGGGGCACAAATAAGTGCAAGAAGATGACTAGGCCAAGGATTATTGAGATCCTAGGCATATCAGATATGAATTCGCCGTACGACCACCGGTTCCAGACGCGTTGGGCGCAATGTAGGACAAACTCAGGATAAAAGAAAAAGAGTAAATACGCTGAGCAACTGTCCACGTCAAAAGCATATTCAACACGATTCAATACAAAACGGCAATCAATCATTGATCAAAATAAGTAACGCATAAACTATCAGTAGGGAGGCAAGCTGAAAAGTATCAAAAGTTCGGTCCAAAATGCAGAGTGGTATGCAGAATATATCTGCTTGTTGCTATTCATTGTTATAGAAAAAAGTTACTGAAAAAGTTTGAGTTCTGAGAAGTTGATATTAAGATCAATCACATAATATCAAGTACCGGGCGAAATGGTTTTCTTTATGCTGGCACACGGTGG